TGCACCGGGCTTCTAGTATATGAATAATTATTCATCTCCCATGTGGGCCAGCCTTTCCAAAGTATGTTGATACCTTATCTAAAGCATTCCTCGGAACTATATGAGAATGATAACACCAGTCCTGGTTTACAAACAAGAACACTGCTGCTGAGTGGTGAGGCGGCTTGTCCAAAGTTTCAGAGCAAACCGGGGATCTGGTCTCTGACCCAGACCTGACCCCTGACCCACACTGGGCTCTAATCAACCCTCTTTACATGCACTTACGTGGATGGAGACTGTTTCTCACTTTTTTCACCTGAAATTCACATGAAACAGACACTACCTACATCACAGAGCTGCCCAGGAGGTTAAATGTACTGAAATGGGTAAAGCCTTTTCAAAGGTGCCTGACTTAATGCTCTTATGTAATCCAGCTGAAATTTTTCTCCATAAAACATTCCCACTAATTAAAAGTGATTCTTTTTCCACTAACTAATTTTTTTTCCATTTCAAAGCATTATCAGCTTATACTTTTTCATTGTTACATAGGAAAAATTCTTGATCTTTTTGTATACTCATTCTTACAACATACATCAAGATATTAACATCTACGTCCACCTCTGAACTAGGAGGTCACGGTTCAATTCCAGGGCAGGCTACACGCCTGGGTTGCAGACTCGATCCCCAATAGGGGGTGTGCAGGAGGCAGCTGATTGACGTTTCTCTCTCATCATTGATGTTTCTATCTCTTGCTCCCTCTCTCTTCCTCTCTAAAATCAATAAAAATATGTTTTTAAAAAAGATATTAACATCTATTTCCTTAGTGGTGCAATATGGGCTGCAAAATTTTTTAGAAAATGATGTGTTTGTTTTTGTTTTGTTTTGTGATTTCAGAGAGGAAGGGAGAGGGGGAGAGAGAGAGAGAAATATCAATGATGAGAGAGAATCATTGATCGGCTGCCTCCAGCACACCTCCTGCTGGTGATAGAGTCTGCAACCCAGGCGTGTGCCCTTGACCAGAATCAGAACCTGACCCTTCAGTCCGAAGGCTCTATCCACTGAGCCAAACCAATTAGGGCTCAGAAAATGATTTTACTACAAAATTTTTATTAGCTCTTTTTATCTAAATGTCAGTCACATCCTTTGTATTTCCTTCATAGTGAAACACTTCTCTCAAGCTTTAAAAAAGTCATACCTAGAAAGCCTACAAAAAACTCCAGTTTCCATGACAACCAAAAGAAGTTAACATAAAAATACCAAATATAATTCAGTGCCTTTGAATTTTGTTTGGATTCTGTAAATTCATTTAAGTGACCAATACGAAGGCCTACCTAGTTTGGCTCAGCAGATAGAGCGTCATCCTGTGGACCAAGTGTCCCAGGTTCGATTCCTCTGGTCAAGGGCACGTACCTAGGTTGCAAGCTGAGAGAAATATAACGCAAGCCACAATGCCAGCCATATATGTGATTTTAAAATTTCTTGTAACCAAAATTTCAAAAGTAAAAAGAATTCGTTTTAATAATAGACTTAATGTAACCTATTTTGCCCCAAATATTAAATTTTGATATATAATCAATATAAACATTGTTCATGAAATATTTTACCCTACACTAAGTTTTCAAAACCCAGTGTGTATTTTGCACTTAGACCAAGTCTTACTGCAGGCTTGCGATGTTCCAAGTGCTCAGGGTGGCTAGTGGCCACCACACTGGACTCCTGCTCTAGAGCATCTGAGATAAGAGGCATCCGGGAAGGGACCCTGGTCTAAGCTGGAGGTGAGATCGAAGGACAGTCGTTTGAGGATGCCTGGCTGCTAATTTCTCCGAGTCTCCATGTGCCCTGAGTTCTTTTAGAATAACCAACATGGGAATAATTTCTTTGCCTTTAAAATATAATGTTCATATAACCCGTGGACACAGACAATGGGGCGGTGAGGGCCTGAGGAGAGAGGACGGGAGCAGGCTGGAAGAACATAGATATAATGTTCACAAAATGTCATGTGGACTTAGAAAATTCTGCTCTAGTTAAAGGTAGGTAAACTGTGAAGGTAAGTAATCTTAGGCTCCTTACTGAATGATTTCCATTATCATTCAGTAAGGAGTTTGAATCTTAACATTTTCCAGCTGAAAAGCCTCTTAACAATTATTTTATGACACCTTCCAATACTACAAATGGCAGAGACTCACTATCACTCAACTAGATATTACTCCTGAGGCTGCCTGATTCTCCCCCTTTTCCAGGTTACGGTGTGTGTGTGTGTGTGTGTGTGTGTGTGCATGCGTGTGTGCCCATGCACATGACAGAGACAAAAAGGAACAAAGACAGGCAGCAGAGCTGAGGTGGGGGGAAAGGATGGTGGAACAGGAGCCACGAGGCTTTTCCAAGCTGCAAATGCCATTGCTCCACTCTGATCCACTGAATCAGAGCCGGATTCACAGCTGGATGAAGGCTGTGCCATTGCTAATCTATGAGGAGACCTCTATTATTTATTATCATTGGAAATTTAACAAAACACAGATTTCTAAAAACCAGAATACCTGAAAGGTGAAAAGATGAAAAGAAATACTTTATTAAACTACTTGGAGAGTTGGCTTGCGAGGGAGGAAGAGAGGGAAGTAACGGGATTGAGAAGGGTGCAGAGAGACATCTATGGAGTTTTTTGTCTGGTGTGTGCATATGAAGTTTGGGATGGAACCAAGTAGCTAAATAAGGGGAGGTGGAGGTTATATCACTTGTCTTCATTGGTTTCTTTCCCCTTAGTAGCAGCATCTTCTCTTCCAAAGAATAAAGAAACATGGAAAATATGTCATTATTACTTTAGGCACCATTTATTAGTCTGATCATAATGAGCTATGAACTATCTTGAGTCACCGACACTGATCAGTTGCACCTACCCAGGGATGCGTAGTCTATAAAGCTCTCTGTGTTCCGTTTTGAACTCCTTTCTGTGGAGGTGAAACCATTGTAGCACCGCTTCCTGATTTCCCTGTGCAGGCCCCTCGCCTGGGGATTTGTTCCAATGCACGTTCCAATGTGTAGATCTGGGATGGAGCCCCAGGTTCAGCGTTTCTGACAGGCTTCTGGGTGATGCCCGTGCTACTTGCCTGCAGACCACACATCAAATATATAGAAAGGCCCCCCGCACATCAGATATTTGTCTGAACAAAGTAACAAAAGCATCCTTGGGTATTTGCTCCTTTTACACACTGTATCCCCAGCTTTAAAGCTTGTGGTCCCCTTCCCTCGCCGCTCACCGTGGCCTGGAATTTGCAAAGAGCTAAGAGATCACAGGGCCCTCATCTGCAAATCCTGCCTCGGAGCACACCTTTCCTGTGAGGCGCAGCTCTTTTATCCTTTCGCCTTTCCGCCTTTAGGTATCGAAGCTGGAAAGAGAGAAGACTCAAGAAGTCAAGAGGATCCGGGAGCTGGAGCAGCGCAAGCACACCGTCCTGGTGACCGAGCTCAAAGCCAAGCTCCACGAGGAGAAGATGAAGGAGCTGCAGGCCGTGCGGGAGAGCCTCATCAAGCAGCACGAGCAGGAGATGGCGAGGACAGTGAAGGTGCGGGACGGGGAGATCCAGAGGCTCAAGTCGGCGCTGTGTGCCCTCCGGGACGGCAGCAGCGACAAAGTAAGGACAGCACTCACCATGGAGGCCCGGGAGGAGGCCCGGAAACTGTTCGATGCGGAGCGCATTAAGCTCCTCCAGGAAATTGCGGACCTGAAAACGGCCAAGAAGCAGGTGGACGAGGCCCTCAGCAACATGATCCAAGCGGATAAAATCAAGGCCGGGGACCTGAGGAGTGAGCATCAGTCCCACCAGGAAGCCATCTCGAAGATCAAGTGGGAGTCGGAGCGGGATATCCGGAGGCTGGTTAGTAGCTCAGCGCAGAGCCGTTCTCTTTCCGGGGGGTAGGGGTGGGGGTGGGGGGCAGGAAGCCAGGGGTTTGCTTTATCGGGTGTTTCTTATGAGTGGATTGTAAACAGTGCCCACCTGTTGTCCCGTGTTCTCTCCAAAATACAGGATAGGTCGATAAGCAGGTAGGTAAGTAGACAGACAGACACAGTCAAAAGTGTAAAAGATTTTGGGTCACCTTTCTCATAAAAACTGGATTCTTCCAGCCCAGTACACATGGAAAATATCTATTCAATGACTCATGTTTTCTTGGATGTCTGTGAAAATATTCTAAATTATGAACGCTTCCAAAATCAGCCTGCTGTCGTGTGCTTCCCATTTGTGAAAATGTTCTCAGGGTGAGGAGAGTTCCTATGGCTCTCAAGACGTCTCAAACAAGGCAGCCGCTGGGGACATCCCGAGTGATTCACCAGTCTTCTCTCTAGGAAGTATGCCTGAAAGGAGTAGGTAGAGCTATAAAATCCCCAGTCCTGTTTAAAATCGATTTCCCCCCAAATGAGCAGGGGTCACTATAATTTTTAAATTGGATGTCATTCCTAAGTAGCTTATTCCTAAGCTTGCTATAACCAAGTTCAAAGACCTACTTCAACCCTTGTAGAGTTTGGTCTTTCTTTTTAATATGTATAACCAAAGCCACTGGTCTCTCACTATGTCAAAAAAATAAAACAAATGTCATTATTGTGTGAAAGCTATACTATCCTAGGATGACTTTGTCTAATATTTTAGAAGATGTATTCAACATGCATATACTTGGAATGTTTAGCATTAGTTATATCTTATCAAATTAAACATTACCTGTTAGAATGTACTTTATATTTCTCTCAGAACAATGCTTTCTTGGGAAAAATTATACTTTCCCTCTTGTGTCTCCCAATTCTAAGCAATTCTTTCCTAAGAATTCTAATTATGTTCCTTGGATGGTATCTTGAGGATTTCAATTTGAAGTAAAATGTGGTTACCATAGAACATTTGAAAAAAAACTAAACATGTAATTTTCTTTGTACTGCAATACATTGTGACTGTAAAATGTTGCCTTTGCTACACTTTTTGAATGCTTGACCTGCAATTCATTCTATTGCACTGGTTGACAAAGGAAACCAAACACAGTGTAGAAATACTGGTCTCTGCCCTGCCTTTGATTTTTGAAACAACAGCGGCTGATGATAAAGAATCAGACCCGTGAACTCTGGAGTCAGCAGGTAGGTAAATGGGAAGGAAGCTTTACACGAAATATTTTTTTTGATGGTTTTCAGTGTAAAATCTACAAGTACATGTTGATGTGTTGTTTTATCTATGCTGTTTCTTTCACCAGCACCCTGATGATGTGAATCCCTCTTAATAACTGTAAAATCTAAGCTACCTGAAGAGCCATTCAAAAATGGGGTATAAACCGAATAACATGGTGAACTTTTTCAATCATACAGATGCACTTTTCATTTTTATCTTCTTCTTATCCCATTCCTGTCCTCACCCCCAGCTCCATTTTTGGAACTGGAAGGGAGAGAAATGGGAGTAATTCTATATATATATATATATATGAATTATATTATATATATACTATTATATAGTATATATATAATCCCATATTATATATTCTATTTCATATAT